TTAAAAGAAAAATGTTTTTTAGTCCTTTTTATTTTTATAAAGAAAATAAAATAAATAAGTGTAAATAATAATAAAAATATTTTTTGGATTTTTTACTAATGAAAATAAAAATAGTATTAATAATAATAATAATAAATAAAAATAGTGAAAGAAAATTGAAGAAGAAGTTCAAGAAAAATACCTCAAAACTGGAAATCGTAAAATGCTAATGGGCTTGATTCAAGGTGCTGCAATGATCAGGTTAGTTTCCCAAGTTCCCTGAAAGCTAATGCAATGATTAGCTTGAGCAATGGGTGGCTGAAATGGTCTGGAGAAGTCAACTTGTATAGCTCTGTTTTTGGTTATGGAGGTTGATGAAGATGGAGTTACAATTATGAAACAGGGCCAGGGATAGTTTGTATTTGATGTAAGGAAGCTTTAGGAATGAATTTGAGGGAAAACACACGAGGGAAATGAGAGATACAAGTTTAAGGTTAGAACTGTGTATCAATGGAGTTTTTTGTGCAATTTCTGGCTGGAGGGAGTTTGGGAGTGTTTCAGGGTGCTTGAGCTCGTCCCTTAGCTCACAAATAACGACTCTATTTATAAGCAACAAGTTTGGAGACTTGTTGTTCATCAGAATTCAAAATCACAAGTTTATGCATAACATGTGATTTTTGAGAAATTCAAGTTTTAAAGCCTTGTGTACTTGCTAAGATAGAGTAGTTATGATTTAAACATACTTGCTTCTAAATTTGTGGATGGAGTGTGATTAGAGGGAACAAGTTAGAGGCTCAAGAATGGACTTTATGCAAAAAGCTTGCTTTACAAGAATGACAATGTTAACTTTGTGCCATTAATGGAAATGCAACTTGGATAATAACCCAATTGCTTGGATCAAAGCTCTAACAACTGTGTAAACATTTAATTATGGAGTGACAAACAAGTTTGAGGTATGCAAAGCAAATATTATGTAGCCTAGCATGAATTTGGTTCATGTGTTCATCAAAAATGACTTGTAATTCAAGTTTGAAAATCCTAACTTCCTCTCTTCGATTCTCCCTGCTCAAGAATGATCTCAAGGAGTTCTGGGACATTTTGGAAAGCTTGTAAGGTTCTATAAAACCCTTCTTTGAATTAATTTTGAAAATCCCCTTTGAAACTATATGAAAAAGTGCCATGAAGTTAGGTCAAAATCCTGTCTAAACTAGGGCAAAATTTCACTAAGTGTTTAATTCCAAGACTATGACTTTATGAATTAATAACTTGAGATAAAAGAATTTTTATAATAAGTTGTGTAAATAAATGTTTTAGATCTCACGGAGATCTACAACTTTCATGTTGAAAGTTTCTTTTGAATCATCTTGCATCATGGTGAAAAATTGGCTCAAAGTTGTGAAAAAACTTGAAGTTTTAAACACTTGGAAAAATTTCTAAGTTAGAAAACTTTGACTTTTCAAAATGAAATCTTGATTTTTTTGATTTCTTGATGAATAAGTTTCATATTTTGACATGCTTTGATGAATTGTGATCTTTGACAATTGATTTTGACAAAAAAGTCAAAGTTTGACTTTTCAATATACAATTGACTTTTGATCAGTTGACTGAAAATTCACTATCAATCCAATTGATCTTGAACAATGTTTTGAGTCATGCCGTTAGGTAAAAATGATGCAATTGAACTCTTGAGATCATGTCTCAAACCACTTAACCATTTGCTAGGTCAAAAATCAGAAATTGCCCTTTCTCAGTCAAAATCCTAATTTTGACCATTTTGCCCTTTTGATGATTTGATCAAATTTCTTGAGGAATTATGGTCCAAACTTGATCAAATGATACATATGAGTTTATAATGTTGATGTGGATAAAAAATTATGAAGTTTGACTGTAAATTGGCCATAGTTGACTTTTCCCCCAATACAGCTGACTTTTAGGTCAATTGCTCAATTGACTGAGCAAAAATGTGATTCAAGGCTTGAAACTTGGCATGAGTAATCTTTGGGGTCCATAATGATTCATGAAAGTCATATGAGGCATTGGAAGTTCAATTATCCTTGTGAAATATCAAACCCTAATTTGAGTCATCAGTGCTTAAGGAGGTGTCTTGAGTTGATCAACCCTAGTGCAGTCTTGAACCAAGAGAGATCTCTGTGAGAAAATATTTGATAAGTGAGAGGGAAAATTTTGGGGTACAACATTGTGCTTCATAGATAACATCGCACGTGAGATCCAACTTTTTCAGCTTTATCACGTGCGCGACAACGCTTGATGGCCAGCGTGATTATTCCATAAACTTGGCTATTTTTTCTTCCCTTTTCATCCAATTTTAAGTCCTCGTTTCTTCACACTTAGTGATTTTTACATCATTCTTTGGCCATTATACTTCATATATGCTCATCCCTGACTTATTTTTCTCCGTTTTTTGACGAAATATATGTAATGACAGAGTGTCATCATTGACAAATTGGTTTCGCTTGGAAGAGATGGCTTTTTAAAGCTTTTCTTCTTGTTTTAGGACCGTTAAAGTCCAGTCTTTTAGTTGTGTTTCATTTATTTGGCGAGCTCTTGTTAAGGCACCATGGAAGGTTACGAGTTCACCATGAAATTTGTGATACTTTATCTTTAGGTGGACGGTAGAAGGGACAATGTCAAGAGTTACAAAGGGTATTTCCAGGATACAATTGTAAACAATTATGCAAGGAACCACCCAGGAAATGTACGTCTATTGTCCTTGCATCTCTTCCTTTTCCCAGAGTGACCATCAATTCTATATTGCCCTTAGAATATATTACCTTGTCATTGAATGTTTGATGATGATTGCATAGGTAATACGATAATCTCCACCTTTCTAATCCCAACTATTTGAAGAGATCAACGTACATTATGTCACATGAGCTTCCCCCGTCGATCATGATTCTTGATATTTTACAATTGGCTATTCTGGTTGTTATTACAAATGGAAATACTTTGTTGGGCGTACCTCCTAAATTTTTGCTATCCTTGAACCCTAGGACACGTCACTCGTCCTCTTACTCCCCTTCTCCACCTTTTCATTTTTGATTCAACAACCTGGCTTTTTTTGGCTTTTTAAAGAAGTTTTCTTAAGCAAGATAATCCTCATATAATTGAGGATATAGGGAAGATAAGCGTGTTTCTCAGCGATAATGGAGAAACATAGAAGGATTCATAAGCATTGGTGAAAGTCTTTTCGACATTTGGCTTTGGTATTGTTGTTGATAAGGTTGGAATGACAAGAGAACCTGAAAATTTCCCTGACTAACTGGTAGAGATATCAGAATCTGGTCAAAAGAAGCGGTTGAAGAGCTCACCAGAACCAAACCTTGTGTTCTTGGGGGAAGATGAGGATCTTGAAGAGTGGATATAAGGACCAAAGCGACAACTTAAGTTGTAGAAACGAAGTTGCAATGAGTGGATTTGCTTTGTAAGCTGCCATTGTCAATGATTATAAAAATTCACAATCATCAAATCGGTTAATAGAAACGATTACAACGACGTAACCGAGGATATCAGAGGGATTTGATGTGTAATTTGATGAGAATCAAGGAAGGATTTCAACAATCGGGGCCACTATTCTGATCTGGAACATGGAATTGATGATGTGCTGATGAAGTTCATTGTGGAATCTCTTATGTATGACAATGAAAGTCTTTAGTAAATGAAAAGAGGGTGTACATACAATATTAGCTCTCCAAGTCTATGTCACTAAGATTTGACATGTGTAACTTGCAAGAATAGAATGAATTATACATTGGTTGTGGCACGGAATAATATTTATATATGGATGATAATTATAACCGTCCTCGACGGGTGCAAAGTAAAATATAGAGGATTGTTGAATAGACTCTAATGACTGAGATGAATGCGATTTTCGAATCCATTGTGCCACCCCTTAGTAAGGGTCTACCTGTTCATTATCTTAAGTAGACAAATCTTAAAATGAAGCCTTTAAATTGACTTGGTTTCATTGGTCATTTTGAGAATAAAAACAACTATTTTTTCTTTAATTAAAATAATTGAAAGAAGAAAAAGTAAGAAATAGTCAACTATCTATCAATTAAAAGAAGATACCACTAAATGCTATAAAATACCTTTTTTTCTTTTAAATGTCTAATGTCCAAAATATTGTAACTTATCATTCAATTCTGACACGCATCATAATAAATTCAAATTCACTTTTATCTATTTCTCTCCCACCAATCCCCTTTAATTTAATTAACAATTATATCTAATAAAATATCTATTTTAATTTAAATTAACAATTATATTTATTTAAAACACATAATTTTCATTTTTTTTATTTCTCAATTTCACAATTTTTTTTAGATCATTTGACGCATGCGTATTTTCATTAATCTAAAGAAATATTATTGATGTAAGTATTGAAATTAAATTATATAGTACTTTATAATTAGGAACTTTAAAAAGTAATTTATAATATAGGAGAGAGAAAGTATTTTCAAGTTAGTGAGGGTGTGAGGTCTAGATGTGAATGTGTTAGTGTATATTTTTTTCATTCTTTTTTAAGTATTATTTTTTAAAAAAAAATTTGTTTTTTTTTAAACGTCATATTTTAAAATTCAGGGAAATATTTATTGTAGTTTTGTCAAAATTATTCCTAATTATTATTATAAAAAGATAAAAAATTAAATAAATTATTAAAGAGTTAAAGATATTATAGAAAAAAAGATAATTATTTTAAAAAAAAAAAATAATAATTAATTGTTTTAGTATGTGTAAAAAATTAAAAAATTACAAATTAAAAAAAACGGAGAGAGGAGTAGTAAATTGCTGTTTTATCATAATAGCCTTTGTTACATCCACCCACAAAAATCTTTGTCTTTCACATTCAACAGAAAATTCCCGCTGCTTTTCGAACAACAAAAAAAATCAAAAAGCTTCTTCAGCAATCTTGCTTTTTCACAACTCTTCTTCATAACCCTCACCCTGTTTTCAATTTCATCTCCAATGGAAACTAACCCTAATCTCACCAAACCCTAACAATGGAACCCGAACGAAAACGTAGATTCACCCGCAGAAATCCACTCTCCGATCGCACCAACATTCCTCCTTCTTTCTCCGTTCCCGTCAAATCAACCAAACTCAAACCTTCTTCTATCCCGTTCAAAAAATCATCCACCAAATCCACCTTTTCCACCAACGTTGCCGCGAATCTTGACGCCGCCTCAAACCCTAGCTCTTTCGCACCGGCCTTTGTTTCAACGCCTTTGCCCAAATCATGGTCTCTTCGTGGTACGTTGAGTTGTTAACTATTTGATTAGTTTACAGCGTTTTCTAATTTTACTTTCCGATTTTCATTTGAATGATTTGTCTGTGGTACTTTTTTGCGAAATTAGGGTTAATTTTAAGCTATAGATTATGATTTTGGGTGTTGAAAATGCTATAGATAAGTGCTGTATTTGGATTTTAAGCTGTTTTTAAAGCTAATTCCGATACACTTTTTGGATAGTTTACGAAAACCTCATAGTTTATTCGAAAACAGTTTGAACATTTTTTTGAGTTTGGAAGTAGCTTATACAATACTAGTACTTAATTAAGTTGTTCATTTAAATGGGTCTAATGTTTGAAGTATTTGTTCTTAAAATTGTGGAGATTCACTGTTTACTAGAATGTTTCTTCTATTGCAATGTTGTTGCGGTTTGGGAGGCGTTGGAAAATTAGATGTTGCTTTTGCATGATTTCTTCTAATAGTCTGGGTATAGTTACTTGATGTGATTAGTGCTATTGATTTCTTATTTTTCATGCTGTGTTAGTCTTGTTAAGTTTATGTTTTTTGTTTTTTTCTTCAGGGGTTGTTGATTGTGAGGCTTTTGCGCCTCTTTCTGTAGTCTATGGCCGAAGACATTCTTCAAATGAAAAGAATGATAAAGAGAAGGAAGTGGTTGTTCCTGCTAGAAGCGTGCCCATTAAAAGGAAGGATAGAGGGAAGGAAGTAGACATTTCTACAACTAGCACACCCATGGATAAATTGAAGGAAGTGGTCGTTCCTTCAAGTAGCGCGTCAATTAAAAGGAGGGATAAAGGGAAGGAAGTGGACATTTCCGCAAGTAGCACACCCATGGATAAATGGAAGGAAGCTGTCATTCCTTCAAGTAGCGCGCCCATTAAAAGGAGGGATAAAGGGAAGGAAGTGGACATTTCCGCAAGTATCACGCCCATAGATAAATGGAAGGAAGCTGTAATTTCTTCAAGTAGCGCGTCCATTAAAAGGTGGTATAAAGGGAAGGATGTGGACGTTCCTTCAAGTAGCGGGTCCATGGATAAATGGAAGGAGGTTATTCATGCAAGTAGCACACCCATTAAAAAGAATGATAAAGGGAAGGAAGTGGACATTCCTTCAAGTAGCACATCCATGGATAAACAAAAGGAAGTGGTCATTCCTGCAAGTAGCACGTCCGTGGATAAAAGGAAGGAAGTGGTCTTTCTTGCAAGTAGCACGTCTGTGGCTAAACGGAAGAAAGTGGTCATTCTTGCCAGTAGCACACCTGTGGATAAACGGAGGGAAGTGGTCATTCCTGCAAGTAGCACTCCCGTGGAGAAACGGAGGGAAGTGGTCATTCCTGCAAGTAGCACGTCCATTACAAGGAAGTATAAACGGAAGGAAGTGGACATTCCTTCAAGTAGCATGTCCATTTCAAGGGTCTTTAGTTCTAGGTGATAATCCCTCTCTCTTTCTCTCTCTTCATTATAGTTGTACAGTGTTGATATGCCGGTGGTATTAAGTTTAATGACCAATAGTTAGGGGAAAGTAGGAATGGGCTGTTAAAAATTCAGGAAATGGGGGTATAAAAAATGGCTAAACTTATGATGGATCTGAACCTGATACTAAAAAGTTTATATTGTTATAGGAATTCTCTATCATATTCTGATGTTGTGTGCTGTGAGAATAGGCTGTATTTGGCATGATTTATGGATCTTGATTGAACTGATGAATCCTTTATTTTATTAGACATGTATCTCATTCATTAAGTATGGTTGTCAAACTCTTAAAATAACTTATAGAATTGTTCAAACTCTAGGAATCAACATTTATTGTTTTTTAAAAAACCTAAAATGCGACAGCATAATGATTAGCCTTTGTAGTGCAGTAATAATTAATCGCACAGATGTACTAGTAGCACTCAACTCCACAGATGCGAAATTGTTTCAGGTCTGCTCTTAATGTTAAATATTAACCATGACCTATATTTTATGTTCCTTTTTCATCTAATTACAGAAAGCCAAGTGATGATGGGGTTGAAGGTGCAAACCTACTCAAGGCCAAGGCTTTCTCAGTCCCTTGTAAAAAGGTACATAACTTTACAATTAAGTTCTGCATGTCTTGTGAGCATGCCAAATTTTGTGTCTTTACTCATTAACGTAGTATTGTTTCTGAAATGATTAGGTGGAAGTAGAATGTATCATTTCCTAATACTTCTTATCTTCGTCCACACCTTTTCCCCCATTTGCATACATATTTCCCAATTATAAGTTCAATCATGTCGCACTAGATATTTTGCAATTATTTGATGCATTTTTGCTGAATTTTCAGAAGCAACGTGCCAGGTCATCTAAACAGGATATTGTGTACACGGATCCCATCCTGCAAGATTATCTAAAAAAACAGAACGCATACTTTAAAATGATTGATGAATTTGAACTCTTAGAAGAGGAGGTTGAATCGCTTAGTGATAGCTAGAAAAGTGCTAAGGTGATTGATGAACTTGAACTGTCAAAGGAAGGAGCCTATATACTTGATAACCGGGAAAGTGGCAGAGATGTAAGTATAAATAGCAGCTTGGAGATTCTTTAGTGGGAGGCTGTACAGTTGTGATATGGTTGTATTATTCACAATGAATTACTTACTACCTTAGTGTCACATCTCCTGACCAAATAAGTAAATGTAAGTTCTTAATAGTTAATAGTTTTGATAGGTTTGCAAATTGAAGTGAAATTTGTTTCACTTGTAAACTACTCTTTGGAATGTGGTAATATATTCTAACAATTAATAACTTCGTGATTTCGAATACCTTGGTTTATTTCACTCACACTAATGATTCTTTAGAAACCTTGTTAGGCCAATTCAAAGTGAAATAGAAAACTTTGGTTTTAGTAGACTTTTTTTGAACAAGCCTAAAGATTTAATTTAAATATTTAGACACATGACATGCTTACAGTATGTTCAATGGTGTGTAAGTGTATATTTGGTTCTATTTTTGAAAGACAAAAGTGATTTTAGAATTGGAGAGTTTTTTTTTTTTTAAACATTCTTTATTTTTCAGAATGTATTTTTTATATTTAAATTTACTGTTTAACTTACTTTTCATGCATTCAAATATAAATAATTTTATTTTCAATTTATTTTTAGATTGAAACAATTTTTCAGAAACAACTTCCCAAAATGAGTCATCTCTTTTTACGGAACCATTTTACTGTCTTGTTTTCTTTCAAAAATTGAAACTCCCTTCCTTTCTTCGCTTATGAATCATTTACCACAATGCAATGATATGTAAACAAAAATAAAAGTTCACTCAAATACTCACATTAGAACAAAAAAGAAAATGTTGAGAAACTTAAAGAAAACGTGGAATATGTAGTCATTTCGGTCATACCCAAAAAAAATGTTCAAATGTTACAAGCAATTTTAATTAAGCATGTGTATTTTAGGAGTTTTCAAATGTTAATAAATTTTTTTAATAAAATTAATTACTAGTCAAATGCAATTTTTTAGCTACATGAAGTGCGAAATATAATTTATTTAACATATCAATTTACAACATAATATCACATAAAATAAAATAAAACTTACATGAACATAAAATAAAAGTACTTCCTAGATTTTAATAACAAAAAAAAATAGATATTCTTCTCTTCTAGTTGAGGAATAAGAAAACACAAATGAGAATTTTGAATTGACTTTTTAGATTGAAATTTTTTCATGACCCATAACAAAGATCAAAGAGCTATGAATAAAAATAATAAACACAATATTTTTATTATGATTTGTTGTTAATGAAGCTACCTTCGGTTCATTCATCAATGTGATTATGTCTTCTCACAAAGATTTAATCTACTATAATTAAATTAATTACAACCACAAAGATCTACTGTCAATGTCTTCTTGAGACTTCTGACTAACTCTAGTCTCTCAAGGAATATCAACTCACAAGTTGAGATACAAAAGGCGTGTTTACAAAGATGCTTCAGTGAAAACATATTATACAAATTAAAATACAATGATTTAACACAAAAGTGTTTTTAGCAAGTGTATGAGCAAAAGTTCCTTGCTTTACAGTTTTTCTCACAAGTATGAAATATTTATGTTCAAGAGCTCAGGTGAAAAGTTCTTGGCAAAAGTTGTTCAAGAGAGATCTTCTTCCAATCTTCCAAGGGATTCTTTATATAAGGATAGAAAGATCCGTTGGAGGGTTGAATAAGTATTCCAAAATTCTAGTTGTATTCTTGCATATGGGTCAGTGAGAGTGGTAAACAATATCATACCATAGTAATGTCCATGCGCCACAAAATCAGAATAATGAAAGGAATAATTGATCTTGTACCATATACTATTCACTCACGTAAAAACCTTTTGATCTTATTTTCTAATCTTTAGAGGCTTCAGAATACGTGTTGATGAAGCATGCTTAGAAGGATCAAAATACTGTATCAGAGTCTTCAGACTGTTCGAAACCTTGTCTTCAGAGTCTTCAGAATCTCAAAACTTGAAAGCGCAGAAACATCAGATCTTAGAAATCTTCAGAAGCTCTTCTTACCAGAGTCACTGTTAGAAGTTTTTAGACCAAAGTTCTTCAAAACTGTTGTTTAGGAGCGTTCGAGAACTTGAAAAATACTATGTAAAACTCACTTTGTATCTCTCTAGAGTCAGAGTATGTTGAGTTCAAAAACTAATGATGTCACACACCATTTCTTTAGAGTTAGAACATGTTAGCAAAAGCTACACACTAGACAAAGACCATTAGAGTACAAATTTTTTCTATAAAAAACAATGTATTGTTATCATCGAAACTTAAGGCCATATGCAAAATCAAATCTTGTTCTTATAATCTCCCCCCTTTTGATGTTAAAAAAACCATGTATTTTGATGAACAATTTTTATTTGGTTTAATCACATAAAACATACCAGAGTCAGCTATAAAGCCCCCCCTGAGTTCTACACAGTTGTACCCCAAACTTTTCCCTCATAATTCTACTTTTATCTGGCTTAGGCTTTGCACTTCATTTGCATCATTCTCATTAGGTCATTCATACATCATTCCTGCATTTCAATAAGGCAGTGGTTTGAAGCATCGGTGGTGGTGCTAACTAGGGTTCAATTTTGGTTTGAGGCTTCTACATTCTACAGTTGATTTCCCTGGCTTCTCCTTGGGAAGTGGATAGTGGAATCAGGTTTTAAAGTATGGTTATCATGAGTTTCTTATTCATCCATGTACAAGGTCGTTTCTCATTCAAATTCACTAGGATCTTGGATTAAGGTTTATTTCCCTATGTGTGATTAAAAATCAGGGTTTGTTCCTCAGCTACCATCTTCTAAGTTGTTCAGTCAGAAATTAGGGTTTCCTTATGCTTTGAGGATTTTTACTTTATTCAAGATGAATTCAATTGGTTGCTTTATCAAATATGGTTGGAATGGGGTTTTGGCATTTCTTTCGCATCTTAAAACCATATTTTTATCATTGGGCTTTATCAAAGGTTTAATTGAGAAGCTAGGGTTATCAATTGAAGAAGACTTTGTCAAGACAAGATGATTTCATTTGAGAATTAAAGCGTAACTTGAGGCATTCATTCAAGTTTAGGCTTGGATCGAATGTTATCAAAGTTGATTGAAGCTTGTGAGGTTGGAAAGAAAAGACACTTAGATTTCTTGAGATTTAAGTAATAAGACATTCAAATTTAATTCAGGCTCATTCAAAGGTCAAATTCATTCAATTTCCATTTAACTGCAAAGAGCTTATGGATTGAATTACAAAATAAGAATCATGGTACAAAGGATGAAATTGTCTTTAAGGCATCATCATTCCTTTAAAGTTTCATTGCTTGTAAAATTCACTTTTGGATTGAGGAATTGGGTTAGGATTTCATTGAGAAGAAGATTGTGCATCAAGAGGATTATTGGGGAGTTGAGATTGAAATATAGTGTGAAAGTTTATCAGATGCATTTTGTAAAGAATAAGTTTTGATTTAAGGTCTTAAGGTCATGATTTTATCAATGTTTGATTCAAGGCTAAGAAGATTCATTCATGTGATTCCTTAGTATACAAGGTACAAATGAGCAAAGGAATACATTTGTCAAGATACAAGTATCAAAGTTCATTTTTTATTACAAGATCATTCAAGTTTTATCCATGCTTCATTCATGAGAAAATTCATTCAAGGGTTATATCACTCATCATGGTTTAAGATTTCCAATTTCAAGATCATTCAACATATTCATGCTAAAGTCATCAAAATTTCATGCAAAGTCTTTCAAACTTATCAAAGATACATTCATGGAAAGTTTTATTCATTCATCAAGTTCTATCAAGTATTCATCCAAATGTTAAGTAATTTACAAGAATCATTCATCACTTTAAGATATTACAAGAAAATTATACAAGTTTCTATATGAAACCAAGTCCTAAAGCCTAATCTTCAAATTCTACACTTTCACCAATTTTTCTCCAAACTTCATCCTAACTTCATGTTTGAACTATTTCCTTTCATGACAATCAATCAAGCTTCTTCCAACCATGCTTCATATCTTCAAGTTGCATCCATAAACCAACTCTAGAAATGCATACAATTTCTCTAAACTTGTCCAAACATAGTGAAACTGTGCAAACAACCTTGTTGTCCCAACACAACCAAGCTTCTGTCTAACCTACACAACATGCCAAAACCTATCCAAGCCTGCCACAAAATATGCTCCACCAAACTGCAAAAACCAGAAGAAAAAAATGTCCAATACAATCCAAAATTTATACCAAAATAGCCAAAACAATCTGCACTCTAAAAGGCTACCAAAACAGAACAACAAATATGTTCAAACTTATCAAATCCTCCCTCCAAAACTCATTCGAGGATATCTACAAAAGGTCCCTTCCTACTTAGAGGGAGAGAAAATTGGATAGAAAAATCTAAAACAATTTCATCCATACCAGTTCACTAAACCCTACTGCAAACAAACCTTTAACCTACTTCATTAAAGCTGGAGCCTTTAACAACACTTGCACAAACTCAAAATAATTACAGAGATATACGATCTTCTCACCACCACAAATCCATGTTCTAAAAACCATTCAAGACCACCTTTCTTACCTCATTTTCCGGATCTGAACCGCTCCATAACACACCATTCCATCAACTTTCAAAAGCATGGTCGCCGTAGAAGCAGAGGTGATTCAAGACGTTTGTTGTTGTTGGTTCACCGTTAACATAAGCAGTATGTGGAAGGAGTATTGTCGGACAGAGATACCAAGAGGGATTGAGAACATATGGAGGTTTAGTTTTTGTTTTGTTGTTGTTGTTTTATTTGTGTGAGTGAAAAACAAGAGGAACATAGAAGAGAGGCAGAGTTGTTTTGTTGTTGTGGTTTTGGATAGAGAAAGATGAACAAAGAAGTTAAACGAGAGAGAGAGAGAGAGAGAGAGAGAGAGAGAGAGAGAGAGAGAGAGAGAGAGAGAGAGAGAGAGAGAGAGAGAG